ATGGCACAATTTAGACTACCTTGATTTATCCAAGTCTCTCTTCATGTCTGCCGTATGGGCCGATGTCCTTAATTTGCAACATAGTGTGTGTATATATATATGTGTGTGTGTGTGTGTGTAATGTTTCTGTTACTCTCAGAAAATACTCCCTTGGTGTTTAGCATGGGCTGATGGCATTACTTTTTCTTCATTCTCAGTCACATAAAAATGTAAATGCTACATCCAGTAGCAGCTGCTTTTGTCCTTTCTTTCTCTCCATTCAATCCTAGCAGCATTTGGAGACAGAGCTGATGGGGAAAAGCTGACAATTAGCTTTCCAGTACTTAACAATTACATTTCAAGACCTCCCCTACTTGATATTACTGGTTTCCTTCTCCTTTTGAAAGCAAATTTGTTAAGGTGAAAATTTACTGCCGAGATTAGCTATGCCTTTGTGATCTTTTGATCCAATAAGTGGCTGAGCTGAACTTACTCCTGTTACTGAAGTGTGGGTTGCTTTATAGCTATGGGGTCCTCGGTATAGTTTTCTTCAGATATCTATAGGCTGTGCCTTGGAAGGGATGTTGGCAGCTAAAGGCTTGAAACTGTACTGTATCCTTAAAATGCAATGTTCAGACCTGATAGGCCATTTCTCTAGAATGCCAAAATGGGAAAAGATTTTTCTGACTTTACCTGAAATCTGGTGTCCTGTTGGTCTAGCAAAGTGTATCCTTAAAAATAAGTGTTATGAATTCAGTGCTTTATTAGAAGCATTTTGTGAGTGGAGAGGGCAAAAAATGGAGGAGTGGAGGGGGAAGAGGCCCCTGAGGGAGAAATTCTTCCTAACGCTGCAGTGCCACTTCTCTCCATGTCTGCAGGATATCTGTCTAGAACCTTCCCTGGCCCTTTGATCCTTACTATTTCCATACAGAATTTAAGGAATAGCACAAAACTGCAAAATGACAATGTGAACACCTAATAGACGATCACAAATCTTGAGTAATAACACAAAGCTTGCAGTATTATTCATGTGCTTTGGTAACTATCTGTTGTTAAAACTAACACCAAACACTTCTCTGGAATGTGTTTGCATCTCTGGCAGTTGATTCCCAAAATACGGGAATCTTATTTTATACTCTATTTCCATATTTTGCACATAAGGAAATAAAGCACAAGTTTATCCTTTTGCTAATACAGAGATGCAAATTTAGTTAATAAGTATTTGTGAAACCCATTGTGGTCCTTCCACAGAAGTCTCTTAAACTATAGCTATTTACTGTTGTAAATCTTTTCCAAAGAATCTCATGTTCTCCTCAGAAAGAGAAAATTTTCATTTTTTTTAAGGATCTCTTCAATCAAACTATTCAGACTGGAGTTAGCCTCTGACTGTAACATGCAGAGTGCATGCATATACGGTTCATATCTGGGAGGTGCAATCCCAGCTGCCTGGAGCAGTGCACAGTCCCTTGTGTTTTAAAACTGCAGAATGGTTTCATTTTTTTTTTTTATCTAATATACGTGTGAGTAATAGCTAGGATGTGCAGTAAAATAATTATTCAACTTGCACTGTTATAAAGTGGCTGTGTATATAGAAACCCTGAACTGATTGTCTCTTGATAACAATGTATATAGGAAGAGAGGACAGGAAAGAATAGCCCTACAGACACTGTAGTGAGTTGTTTAAAAAAGAATACTTAAAAGCAACAGTTGTTGTGAAATTTACAATTGTTGTGTCCTTGAAAATTCTTATTTAATAACACTGTTTTTGCTGTGTAGCTTTGATTGCTACAAAGTGTGGGAAACATACACAGACTGAGCTTCTGTTTCTGGTCCATCACACAACCTCATTCTTACAAGCTAGCTCTGTTGCAAAAATATAACCATTCTACAAGTGAACATTTAGTTACTAAAATAAAGTATTTTCTCTGTTACATATTTTCTAAAAGCAGCTCTTCCTATTTTGTCTGAGTTTCTGTAAGCTTTTGTGAAATGTACATCAGAAGAAAATTGGCACTTTTAAAATCTCATTTTCTGGTTTGAGTTGGCAGCCTCAAAAAACCCTTAATATCAATCTACTGCATAAATAGATCTGCTTATAAGATTTATTCCTTTGTTTGTTTCCAAAAGCATCAACAGTGTTATGATATGGATAAAAGAACTACTATCTGTCCCTTAATATTCATGTTAGTGGTTTGGGGCTCTTATTACTTGGTATCTCTGTTTCTCATCTGTTTTGGAGGAAAGATGAGTGTTCCTACTATCCCATGCTATTTAACTTGGTATACACATGGTTTTTGTTTTTATAAAAAAGCCCTCAACCAACAGCAAAACAAATAAACAAAAAGCAACTATGTATCACACTGTGATAAAACTTATGGAGGCTTAAGAAATGTCAGATGTTGCCCAAAGTTTCTGGTTCATTCATGGTTTTGGAATCGTATGCCTTTGCGAAAAGCATCCTTTGCTTTCTCCCTAGTACTTTGAAAATGCATTTTGAAGTAATAAGAAAGCTTACAAAGGTTTTTAGCTTTAACTCTTGTAAAGCTAAGACATAAAACACAAGTGTTTGTATTACACCGATAGAAAAAAAGAAATTTTTGTCAAGTCTGACGTGACATGTATTACTTTGATGGAGTACATTTAAACTTTGCCAGTAATACAGGGGATGCGGGAGGTGTTCAGGAGCCATCTCCTGTAGGAAGATATGCAGGAAATGAGTTCTTGAAATGCCTCAGAAATAAGAGAGTTTTTTGCTTCAAGTTTAAAATAAACATGGCTTCTGCCCAATTAAGGCTTTTAAACCTGAGGTTTAAACACTTTTACAACACAGTGCAAAACCTTTGTTCTGTTCCTGAAGACCACCATGCCATGACTGGTAGCTGAGCAAACCTCAACCTGTGGAATGAGAGGAAACCTTGAGGCTGCATATGGTCCTCTTACCTGCTCAGCCCCTGTGTTCTGTGGCAATGTGGGCATCAAGAGTTCATTCAGTTCTTTTGTAGACCAATACTGAGATAAGTTATTGCCATATATATTAAAATACAAAAATAAATGAGTGAATGCAAATGGAAATCGTAGGATCCCTTGATCCAGGCACACACCTGCTTACTTGCTCTTTCCTCTGGCTGCCCTCTGGTTGCTGTTGGCCTCCCCGGCTGCTGTGCAAAGGCTGCCGGGATGTGCTGCGAACCTGCCGTGATGCACCTCCGGCAGGGAGACCTCATCCTGGAGGGCCCAGCAAGTGGAAAGGTCCCCCAGCCCTAACCGTCCTGTGGAGCTGCTTTGAGACAGAGCCGGGCAAGCTGGCTTGTGGGCCCTGCTGGTGGAAAACAGCCTGGCACAGGAAGGCAGAGCTCTCCATGCTGTTGTCCAAGAGGATTTTTGTGTGAATACTTGTCCCTTGTTTAAACTTGTGTTGTGTCTAGTTCTTAAATGCAAGTTTTTCAAAGGCACGGGGGTATAAGGCACTGTGCCTGTGTGCAGCAGTGCAAGCAGGGCAGCAGATGGGTGGCTGATTGGGCTGCTTTGACAGGGCTGCTTTTCTGGTAGCTGCTAACATGCTGTAGAGGTGACAGAGTTAGTTTCTGAAAGAAAATGCCAGCTTTGGTGGTTGCTTTTACTATTTTTTTGCCAGCCAATACACGCGGCACGGACCTTGACTGTCACAGTCACTGCTGGCAAGTTTCTGCATCAAAAAGGTAGAGATGTGGAAGTAGCTACCAGGGAAGGAGAGGGAGAAGGATGGGAGTGCACCCATCAAAGCTAAACAACCGGCATAGTTATTACCTCAGAACGTACGGCTTGTTGTAGCGTGACAGGTTTAGACAATATGCCTTAAGTTTTTTCAAACCCTGACACAACAGACACATAGAAACCCTGGAGATCTGAGCCTTGGCAGAGTCTGTCCTGTCACCCAAAACACTCTCGTGCATCTGGGTGCTCTGGCTGTTTGCTTTGTTTGCTTTGCAAAAGACACATTGAAGTGA